TAAATTGTAAAACCAAGAAATATAGATGAGTTATTTAATTTGAAAAATGTTGGGGGTGTGACTGCAGTGCTGTGAATCTCTGTGAATACTGCCCTGAGATTGGCTGTACTGGCACAAACAATATTTTCTTTCAAAACACATGTGGGAATGCAGGTTTATGTGATGGTGTCACCGGGAGCTTGGTGATACTCTGTGCCCAGCAGCCTTGCCTCCACTTTAGCTAAGAACCTTCATCTAGACATTAGCACTGCATGTTCTTAATGGCTTTAAGCTGAAGGAGGGTAGATTTAGTTTAAGTATTAGGAAGAAATTCTTTACTGTGAAGATGGTGAGGTGCTGGAAAAGTTGTTCAGAGAAGTTGTTGATGACCCATCCCTGGAAGTGTTCTATGAAATTATTTGACCTCAGTGGGAATGAACTCGTAAGTTCATATCATTAAGGTTTTTGCTGGAGTGTGACCAGCATTCTTTAGGATTATATCCCCATAGCTGAATCCTCTGTGTCCAGAGTTCAGTTTACTGAAGGTGGCTGAGGAGGTTTAGGTTCTTCCTGGGCATGCTTGGCTTCCCAGCACGACTGCTGTGTGCTTAAATGAAAAGTTCCTATATTTTAATTTCTTACTCTGCCCAAAAGAAGTTTCTTCCTTTGAGGTCAGTACAGAATGCTGAGGAATATGAGGTGCCTTGCTTTCTGACCTTATGTAGGATTATAAAATTAAAAAATAGTGTCTCTCACACCATTTACTGCAAAAATCTCCAGTAGCAAGTCAGATGTTGTGAATCTAAAAATTTATTCATCATGGATATTTGCCTTTTCATTTTTTCCTTTTTTAATACTAGCAAAACAGAAAGGAAAATAAAACCTACAATTAAAATTAAGACCAGTTGCTGAAGCTGAAAGAGATATCACAATTGTAATATGTTAGAAGATTGCCTTGTTTTAGAGAAAGTGCTGATTAAGATCAAATTTGTCTTGAGTTTAAATTTTGATTGGACCTAAACTGAGGGGAGGAGGGTTTTATTTCAGACACTGCAAATGATGCATGTTAATATCTTCTGTTTATTGCCACTTGAAATTGCAGCATAGCTTTGAATTGCTGCCAAATCTACAGTTAAGACTCCCAAGTAATCACTATGATTATTCCAAGTCTTCATGGTAACAGTGGAAGAAGTCTGATACGCAAAGTACTGTAGCCTAAGCCATCAGAATCTTTTCATCCTTTGAGGCTCAGATTGTGATTCCACTCATAACAAGAATGGTTAGACATGCACACTGGCCAATCAGTCCTGAAAGGGAGATTACATAAATGGATTTAATTATGTTATTTTCAGATTTATTTGTTTTTTCTATTAACTCCTGCCTCCCTAACTTTTCCTGAAATGAGGAAAAGCATGACTTTTCTTTAGTTTTGGAATGGTTTAATTAATATGTTGGCATAAGGGAGTATTTTTTGTTTTTATTAGATTTTTTTTTTGCTTTCCTCCTTGTTCACCTATTACAAATACTATTTTTACTCATTTTCATTACAATTCATCATATTGTTTATCTCCTTGAAATATTTTTTCACCTGTGCTTAACTTGTAGGAGTTATAGATTTACATCTGCTCTGAATGTATACATGTGTCAATGTGCTTTATTTAGCTGATGGGAGATTAAGTAGTGAGGTCAGAGATAAATAGCATAATATAAAATTTACAATTTACTAAAAAATATTAGGAGAGTCTCACGGGGGGACAGATTATATGTAAAAAGTTGTTTAAAAGAAACTTAACTGAAATTTAGCTGTGCTTAAAATCTGTTCTGATTTTTGAATACACAGTTGTTCAGGGAAGTAGTTGTTTATTTTGAGTTAAAACCCTCAGCAATCACTGCTAGTCGGCTCTCCTGATAGTATGTCCCAGTGGCATCCCTTCATCAGTTGCTTGCAGGAAGGTTTTGCAACTTGTTCCACTCACAAAGTAAATAAAACTTGATATGGAAAGCATTAATGTGGGTACAATATTTACTCTGGAGCATTTTCCTAAATAACTAGTGTTAGCCAGCAGGCAAGTCTGAGCACCCGGTGTGTTAGCTGTGGGAAGGGAATCTGTATGCCTGATACATAATGATCAGTTTAAACTATTGAAATATAAATCAGAACACTGTGTGAAATTGAAAAATATTTTGTTAAATGAATTATGATGTGTGTGTGAATAAAAGAATAGTTAGGGACCCTGGCATATATGCTTAGAAATCTGCAATCTTTAGGCTATTTTTCTTCTGATAGGTTTAACTTCAAAAGACATATAATATTTTTGAAGGACAGCATTAGCAAATATCACAGTGTGTTTGCATTTCATTATAACTAGCATTTTTCTTTTAACTTCAGTTTCTAAAATTATGTTCTCTACAAGATGCTGTTGGATCTACATTATGAAATTTAGACATGCCTATATTTAAGCCTCATTAACAGTGAAAACCACTCCCAATGTTATGAATCTCATTCCTTTGTTATTTGGAAGCCAATATTCTGGTATTTTTACAAGTGTAAGATTTATAGGATTGGGGGAAAAAACCAAACAAAAACCAAACAAAAAAAGAAAAACAAAAAAACCAAGACAATAGCATTGTAGTCCAGAGATTACTGCTCTGTACAAGTGTGGTTTGTGTCTTTTCTGGAGTCTATTCCATACTGATTTGTTGTCTTGTACACTTTTTTAAAAATATTAACAGAACAGAATGAGTATAATGGTATTTACAGAAAGTGTTATTTGCACTAGAAGACTGTGTCCAAAGGTGCAAAGCTTCCCATATGGAATTACCACCATACTGCTTCTAGTGGTGCAACATGGAAGAGCTTCTACATGCTGCAACCTAAGCATGAGGCTCAGGACCAGCTTTGTGCCAGCGTTCAGATACGAGGACATGCCTGGACACAAGGCTCGTCAGGAATTGTGGAGCTCACATTGCAGCCTTGCTTGTGGACAGAACCTGATACTTCTGTCTGTGTTCTGGTCATGAACCAACAGGAGTGAGCATTATACAGCTCTCTCAGCAGGCAGATAGATTGGATTTATCTATTTCCAGGTAAAATAGATATTTTGAGCCTGAGTTGCGGATGGGAATCTGGCAAGGAAAGCACAAATCTCCACGCTGGAGATAAGCATAAATGCTTCCTCACTCCACCTTGCGATGCAAGCAAAGGGACAGGGCAGCACATCACAACCACATTCCATTTCAGATTGATGCCATGCCCTCTGCAGAAAACCTAGTGAGTGTGTTACAAGAATCTTTGAATGTTGTATCGAGGCCACCAGCAGCTACTGGTGGACTGTAGATAGTAATAAATTGAACAGACCCTGTTTGAAACACTTCCCAAGAGACAGGAAACCATTGGATACAGTAGGAATAAGAGATGACCATTGTTAAGGTGTCATTTACAGAGGCTTAAAAATGTTAGTTTCCTGTTCCTGCTCTTGGGTAAATTATATCATTAAAAAACTCAAGATTATAGCAACATAATGGGTTATTATTTTGCTCTTCTTACTGACCTAGTCACACAGTTGATGGGATTAGATTTGGCTTAATATATGCTTTAGTGTGGGATTTCAGCAGTGGACCATGAACCCTGGAGTATGTGCAATTCTCTCTCTTGTTCAACAGTGTACTTCAATATGTGCCCCATTTGAGGTATACAAAAGCCCTTCAGAAATTAGTGAAACTGTGTATGTGCTTCAAGTACAAGTGCACACGCTTAAGTAACCTGTCAAATTGGAGCATCTACAAATGTTGTATTTATAGTTTTTCCCCCAAGACCAATTGTAGTAAAAGCTCATACAGCTGTCATATCTGTATAATTCATTTGAAATTTCAAAATTTTAACTTCAGCTTTAATTCAAGAAAGTGACTGCATAAAAATTATACTGTTTTTTCTAATCTCTTTGCTTCTCTGTATTCACATTATTGTAATTCTGTTTGCATAACTCATTGCTATTTATCTCTGTAAGCAATTTACAGTCATTGTATCACAGTGATCAGTATTCTGTGGTGTTTTCTGCAACATTTGCTGAATATTCTAAATGCATTTTGATTTCAGGATTTTTTTTTTTAATTGTTTTTGTAGTGTGAGCTAGAGAGAGCCCAGCTGTACCATGAAAATCCATTTTGTTCGCAGGCTATGAGTTGATAAAGGCACATTTTTGAATGCCAAGTGGACCCGTTTGATCTGGAAAGACAATCATAAATGGATCCTCATATTAGCAGTTTTAGAACCATGCTATAACATGCTGACTGACTGCGAAAGGTGAAGAGGTTGAAAAGAGTCAAGTTCTGACTGAATTATGTGGGGAGAACTTTGTTGTCGAAAGCTTGACATGAAGGTCACACAAGGACACAGCTCAAGATATTACTTTGTTTGAGTCAAGACATAATTTGGACCTGAGAAAGAAATGCAAATAATTTATTGGCATATTTTTCTGCATCGAAGTGAATTGCCTTTTTATCCGAAATATGTCAGCGAGAGGAGAATGGTGAAGGAGTGGAGAGATATTATTAACTAGTTCTTTCTCCTGAGTCATTCACCTAATATAATTATGGCAATGATTATTTTTACATTTAGTAGCCTCACTAGACAAAGAGGTGTATTTATACAGACATGTTAAAATGAGTCATTACTAGCTGGGGTTTTTTTTGTTAATCTGGAGATTTTCTCATGTGGCCTCATGAACCTTTCAAAAGCACCAAAATCCAAGGTATTCATTCTGAGTAGAGATGAGGAGGATGATCAATTTGGTGTAATTTGCAAGAGAAGTTATAGAATTTAACATTCATAGATTTGGTCAGGCAAGATTAATAAGATCTTGCAGTCCTTAACTCTTAGATACTTTTGAGTTTCTTGTCCACAGAATTTTGGTAGCTAAGGTATGTACAAAATATGACATTTACACAAGAAAAATAGGGCTGTGTTTTCTGTTATAGAGAAAACAGTCTTCTGAATGTATGTTGTTGGTTTTGTCTTTTAGATAATTCTTGTAAGTTCTTCCCACAATGACCGTGACCAAAGCCTTTTCATAAGCACAGATGAAGGAGCCACTTTCCAGAAACAACCCATTACTTTCTTTGTGGAAACCCTCCTTTTTCACCCAAAAGAAGAAGATAAAATACTTGCTTACACCAAGGAAGGCAAGGTAAAGCTTGAAGATACAGCATTTGTTTGAAATATAAGAGTTACTTTGTTAAGAGGACACAAAAACTTTTAATATGCTGATTAGTGTTGGGTTTTATGAAGTACCAGTTGCCCAGAAGGGAATCATATAGTGGTTTTGAGTTTTATTTAAACATTATTATTTTCATGTCCAAATCTTTGTTTTTATGGTAATTTCAATCCTGGCATTTTCAGTTGATATGGATATTGGGAATATTTACCCTCCTGCATAATATGGTTAAATAATACTTTTGAAATGTGCTCCTCCCTAGAAAGTGAGCATAAAAAATTTATGGTATAGTAGAAAGTTAATGAAGCTGAAATAGTGCCTCCAAAGGCTGTTCATGCCATGTAAAATAAAGTCATACAAAATAAACTGCATACTTGTACAGCAGAATAGGATTTGGGGAATCAGTAGAAATATAGACTAATTGTCTCTCTTATGATGTGTTTATATCACTATCAGATTCAGGAGTCGTTTGTGTTCGTAAATTTTGAACCGTTTTCAGATTTCTTCTGGTTAAATTGTAAAGTCATTTTTCTGGATAGGTTGGGCTAAGCACTGGGGTGTGTGTAGCTCATCTGTGCTGGTTTAAAGGTAAACCAGCAGGGGAAATGAACTCAACTCAAAAGAGAGATTATAAGTCAGAATAACAATTTAATAAAATAATACAATAAGTACGAATATACAGACAAACAATTGGTTTTAACCCACAAAGCCCAAATATATAACCCAGCACCCTGGGGCATGAACAGAGTGGTGTTCTTTGGGCCCCCTGAGTCCAAAGGAAAAGGAGAGGGGAAAACCTGTTGGTGAGAGTGCTGTTGCAGTCTGGTCAAGAGTGGTGATTGCAGTCCAGTCGAGAGTGGTGGTCTGCAGTCTGGTTGAGAGCGGTGATCTGCAGTCTGGTCTGCAGATCTGAAGTCTACCGTCTTCCTCTGGATCCCACAAGTGGTTAAAAAGGTCCCAAGACTCCAAGATTATATATCCTCCAGTTCAGGCAGGAATGCTCAGTACCTCCCTCAGGGCAGCGGGGTTCCTTAATGGGTGTGAGGACAAGAGCAACTCCTATCTCACAGGCCTCTTAGCACCTAGTTTATAGCCTGAGGAGTCAGGCTCTATGTGCAGATGGTGTAAATGGTTCATTGATAACAGTTTCTGGGAAATGGCATGGAAGGCTATAGAATACACAGTTTTGGGTTACACCCATCCAGTGATTAACTGGTCTCAGCTGTCCTAACTAGGACATCATCTCATCTCCTTTTCACAGTGCCAAAACTGCAGCTGCAAACTCACTGTAATTCTGGTCCTGGTTGTGGTCTTCACTCACCTCCATCATTACTCCTGTTTTAAAGTGGTCAGACTTCACAGAAGGTGTATATTTAAGTGATGACATTAGTCAGAGAAATTCGCATATGCTGCAGCCAAATACTGCACTAATTCCAGTGGTGTTAGATCATCCTTTGGGATATATCCTGGGATATAAGTTAATAGTTGATCCCAAACCAATTCATGTTTACAGGCATTTGCAAATAATGATAGAACTAGAATAAAAAACAGAACAAACCAAACTAAGTCATAGATGATACTAAATATTTTACTTAGCTTCAATTTGATATTGTAACACAATTACAAATAACTTGAATGCATATTATGTAAATAAAATACTTCAGGGAAGCCTGAAGTCATAGAAAGTCTATGTTATGAAAACCTCTTTTTCAATTTGGCTTTTTTTCCTGATGGTAGATATAATTACTGAACTCTACATAGTTACAAATTGGCAGAACACTGAAGTATAAGAGTCCGAAGTGTATTGAAAACTGACCAGCCCAGAAGTAGCTGGAAGTATTTGTCAGAAGAGAGAAGGTGACAGAAATACAAAATGAAGCATTTGGTTTGTGTTTTGATGAATTAAGCATGTTAGGGAGATTGTTGGGCATTTTAGGCTTGGATAGTCTTCTGAAAGGAGTGATGCTGTTATTTTCCATGCTTAAATGTGACTGGACAAAAAACCCCTACAAAATATTCAGCAAAAGATTGCTCTGCAGGAATAGCAGGAAGAGTTAGGTAATCTGATGGGCTTTTCTCAGGCTTTCAATATGACACTAAAAGGAGTCAACCATGAAGACTTACTTAACAAATCCTACATCATTACCTAAGATGTGTATGAATGAAGGATGCCTTTGACTGTAACTGGGTCAGTAAACTGCTTGCATTTTGTATAAAATCTGATTTACTTGACCTAGAAGGGAGAGGAAGATAAAATGATGTTGGCATAGAAGGAGTTGAAAATCAGAATTGCCACATGACACAAGAAAAGGTCACTGTACTAAAATCAATGATCTTGAGAGATAGTGTTGATCTGAAGCTGCCCTGAGGAGACAAATGTACTCTAGATTTTTGAGTTGAGTAACTTTACCTTTCCTAAAAGAAAGTAGTATCAGAATGTAACACAATCTAAAACTCAGGAGAAACCATTACCTTCTGTTACTCAAATGGTTTCTTACAAAGGCACTTTGGAGACTACAAGGAATACTGGACTAAGCCTTCATAAATAGCAATCAGCAAGGCTTCTTTGTCTACTGCAGCATCATGGCCTTTTTCACAACTTTTGATTCTATTTAGGGCTTATTTCATAGTGCAAAATATACGTTGTTCATTCATTCAGAACCCTAGATTCTGTTTAAATAGAGCTCTAACCTCTAACTGACACTATAAATTAATGCAAATCCAGTCAATGTTGTTGGATTAATCCATTTACTGCCTCAAATCTATATGCTCTTTTTCTGGCTACTCCTCAGTTATAATGAAGAACAATCAACTGTTCGCTGAGTCTACATAAATGTTTCTAGAGTTTTTTTAAACCTCGTCAGGGATGCTGTAGATTTTAATTGTTCATTTGGAAGCTGAAAGGATGAAAAAATGGCAGAACATAAAAGTATTTCCAATTTTATTTTAAATATGATTCCTCACATTTATTACATGGGTGGTAATAAACAGAATTACAAGATCTATTAGATGTATTTGCTGAAGCCAAAGATTTTAGCTGTCCACTGATATAACTGTTTTCACCCTGTATCTGATCTCATTTAGTAGTTTTATCATATGTCCCTGTGGAAAAACAGAACACATGGGTCACTTTTTTTTTTACTATAGATAGTTCAATATACGCATAAGTTAGTTACATTTTATTTTTTTATTTATTTCAAACACTGTGTCAGTTAAAATTTTGTTTCAGTTTGAATATGACTTATTAGTCCTACTTCTCTCTCCCTTACAGTAAGATTACCAGAGCTTCCCCTGCAGTAAGCCAAACTGTTCATTCATAAGCTCTCAGACTTTGATCTTAAATGTGTGTGTAAGGAGGTAGTTTGGGTTTGGGAGGTGGGAGGAATGTGTGTTTGATTTAGTATTTTTTGGCCCCTACTATACAGGCAACTGTTCTAAAGGCAAGAATCTTCTCTCATTTTCTTCTGAAATTCATTGATGACAAAACTATATCCCTTTGTTCACGTACCAGTGTTGTCCTTTATCCTAAAGAGCATTTTTCCCTCTTGCCAGGAACCTCTGAATTCTTGGCTTTCTTTGCAGCTTAGATACTAGGGTTAGGGTAGCACATTAAGTGATCATCTCTCCCAGATTTAAGCAGTCTGCTGAGGCAGGTAACTCGATGAGCGGGGACATTTTAGAGAGATGATTATCTTTTCTGTATTGCCTGTAGTGACAAATGTTTGAAGAAGTAAGCTTAGGTTCTTCATCCTGCACAGTCTAGCCCATTCAAAGCTTGCATTTGTCCCTCTCAGGAGGTTGCTCACAGGAATATGCTATAAAATACCATGGTTGCATCAAATCCTAACCCACGTAATAAAGCTAATACCAGAAATGTAGGCAAATCAGGAGCCTGGCTCTGCAACCCCATCATTTAGCTCTGAGGATGAAGAGTTCTTGGTCCTTGATCATTTCTCTGTGCACTGACTGAGTCAATGCTAAAGTAAGCAATCTGAATCCTCGCTGTAGTTTCCTACTCTTAGCTGTGGTCTACCAGCTGTAATTGAGTATGGAATGGAAGAAAGCCATTGGAAATGCAGAAATACTCTTTTATCTCTGGGAAATACTCTTTTCTCTCTAGTTTGAACTTCAGTAAATTTACCCATAGAGTTTGTGCTAAGTTACCTCAACCTTTATGTTTATCTATCTTAATACTGCTGGGTTTCTGTAGTAGAACATAATACATAACAGTGGGGTTTTTTTCATCTCTTGTCATTGAACCTGCCATTTTAAAACAAAAGCATTCCTTACTACTCCTTGTAAGACACTTTCCCCCAGAACAATCAGTGTCTGAACTGGTGACTTATTCCCACACCAGAGAAGAAGGTTTTACTTGCCTTTTTTTCCTTATTAGAGATATCAAGAGAAAACCCATCTTATGTAAATTGGATCAAATAAGAAATGCATGCAGACAGCGGGGGGCTTTAAATCTATCTTATTAGAAGTCTGATAGAAGCTTCCTATTTTAACTAGAGGAAACATAATGAAGGCAAATGCTAAAGGAGGGAGATTTTTGAATAGCTATTTTATATCCTGCTTTAATCTGGGGGAAAACAACTTTCATCTGCACTCTATATCCATCAATATCATTAGCATTTGTTTTCTTACCAGGGGTGAATTATTCATATGGAAGGTGGAGCTGGAGTCCTCCCTGTCCAGGCCATCTTCTGCCTCTCTGCTGAGGGAACACTTCTCATGGGCCACAAATTTGTATCCATGAAACAATTCCTTAAGTACATCTCTCCTCATCAAATCTCCTAAGCATTTCTCTAATATCTTTTGGTCCTATTTTAGCAGAGTTTTAAATCCATTGACTTCCTGGCTTAGTATTTTTGATGGCATAAAGGGAACATTTTTTCTTTTTTGGTCAATGAATGGGAAGAGAAGTGCCCTTCTACCATGCCTTTGAGTAAGCATGATGATGTAAAAAAGAATTTGACCCCAGCTGAGCTGTGAATTATTTTCATGGTAAATAAGAAGACATTGTCACGGAGTTTTTTTAAATTATAGATTATATTTCAAAAGATTTTCTCCATGAAAGGTTGTTACTCTGAAAAATATTGTACAGAATTCCTGGTAATGTTTTTGGTTTTGTTTTGTTTTGTTTTTTTTTTTTAATTGGTGTACAATCTTTCATTTAATAGTGACATAGGACCTGTCTTTGAAGATGTATATTAGCAGTTTCCTATCATCTCATTTTTTTCTTTTTTTCCCTTTTTTTAGGTCTATGTATCTACTGACTTGGGGAAAAAATGGATCCTTCTGCAGGAACGAGTTTCTAAAGATCATATTTTTTGGTAAGAAGTCTGTTATTTTCCAAATAATAAAATGAAGAGCAAAAGTATTTCATTCTAATCAAGAAAGATGTTTCCAGAGATACTAGTAGGACAGTATGAACCCTGGCATCTTTTGCAGATTATGTTGGTCTTTCTGTGTCCTCTATTGCAAATTCATACCAATGATCATACCAGATATCATCACATGGAAGGGTTATAGGTCTGGATCTATGGAGACCAAGATGTAAAGAAAGCTGCAATATTGAATGAAACTGCTCTGCATTTACTGGTGAAACTGATCTTTAGAAAGGAGAGCAGTCTTTTTGCAGAGAAAAATCTATAACATTTTTTTAAGAAAGATTGGATCATACAGATTAACTGGAGTCATATAAACACTTGCACTAATAAGGAAACTGGTGAAAAATATTTGTCCTTTATTGAGGACACATATATCAAATTATTTCATTTTCAGCTTAAATATTGTGCGGTCTCACTAAATGTTTAAGTGATTTAAACAGGTTGACAAAATGTTGGAAAAGTAAGTCAATGCCCTTTTTTTAACAAATGAAATTAATTTGAAAAGTGTATAGTTTCTCTTACACCAAAATTAAACTTTTGATAGTGTTTTAATTAGTTTACTTTTAAAATTGGTCCATCTCACACTCAGTTGCCCCTTTCACATTTTACTTCATTGCAAAGTATGTATTTTTTATTACAAGAATAAGTTACAGTCTTCTAGACACTTGCATTCCCTAAATGATTTATTTTAGTTCAGGTCTCTTAAGTACTGTGTGAAAGAGTAAAATAATTGTTAAGGAGTAACACCATGGGTCATGCCCAGCTTATAATCAATTTTTCCTTAGCAAGATTATATAGGATGTAAATCATGAGGGCATGTGGTTATCTGTCTTTAATAATTTCTTTTTATAAATGCATTAAGTCTGAAAACAAATAAAGTCATTAACAGGTAGAAATAAAAGTGGAAGCCTCTCTCTCATAGACTTGTTTATTGGTGTTTTTCTTACCTGACACTTAGAATACTTAAATTATGAAAAATATAGCAAACCGTTGAAATATGTGCCAGTTTTTCTCCAACTCAATCTGTCATTGTTCTCTGTATCTAAGGATTAAAACCAGAAAGTACATGTTTAATTAGAAGTCTGTATTTTGCTGTTTCAGAATCCTTACATTTCCTTATATCATTCAGATACAATCAGGAAAGTGTCGTGGATCTTTGATAGGAATAATTCCAATGCAGTACTTCAAAGTCATGGTTGTTCATAAATGTCGCATTCTTCACAGATAGGAATAATAAATTCTAAGAGTCTGTACATTTATAGGCATTAGATATGTTTTCTAGGCGGTTGTTTTCCTCTTTTATATGTATAGACCGTACTGATTTCTCTCATGTACATCTCATGATAAATGAGGGCATGTCTCTTGCTGATACTGGCTGGTTGTGCCAAGAACATTTGACTGGGAAGATTCTTAGCAGATGTTTTTTCTTTGATTTCAATTGAGCTTTGCCACTGATGTCAATAATATAGCCTAAGATTTTTATTGCAGTCTCGTAACTACAAATATTATCAGTCATAATATTTTCATGTGTTTTGTAAAAACAATTTTTTTCCTGTGCTTGCAGAAGCAGCCAAATCTTCATGCGCTTCATGAAAAAGCTTTTTTTTTTTTACTCCATGAAAATATAAATACAATTAATTTAATGGAATATGATATGTATCTGTATTAAGGGGAGGTCAGTAGAGACAGAGTTTTTGAAATATTTACGTTCAGATCTTATACTGTAGGTTTATAACTAATATATTAATATCATCTTCTGGGGTTTATTTGCTTTTCAATTGTTCTCGATCATTCCTTAAATAGCTTTGCAGATTTAATATGTGGAATTTGATTTTTCATGGTACTGGAACTAATGAAAATATTATTGGTATCAATGGAAAGTGTGTTATACTATCTCTAATTTAGGAGCACAGGATATTTGCTTCCTATCTGTGATACAGTGTGCTCTTTTCTAACAGCATCCTAGCTGTTTTCCCTATTTGTTTCATTTATTCTTTTGGAAAAGGAAGTTGACTAATCCTTCATAGGAGTTTGCCTTCTCTTAGCATCTTAGAAGGCAAAGCAGGCTTCCCAGAGAGGTGGTTGATGCCCCAAGCCTGTTCAATAGGCATTTGGACAACACCATTAACAACATGCTTTAACTTTTGATCAGTGCTGAATAGGTCAGGTAATGGGACTAGATGGTTGTTGTAGGTGCCTTCCAACTGAAAAAGTTTATTCTATTCTAAAAACAAAAGCGCTGTAAGGCGAAAGTATGAAAGGCAGATTTGCAACTAAAGATAAGATACTAAGTACACTGTGATTAAAAAAAATGAATTATTTTGTGTCAATGTTTAGAATATATTTCTTTTTTTGTGTGTGTAAATATTAATTAGGAAGATTAAAATCCCCCCCCTTTTTTAACACTGAATGTTTTAATGTTATTTTTTTCAATTTTGAAAAGATTCTTTTTCTGTAAAATTAAGAAACTTTGATTGCTGTGGCCAGTTTTACTTCAGCATACAAACTCCACTGGCCCCAGTGTGACAATTTCTGTTTCAGGGATGTTATAATACCCATCATTTATAAATACCTTTTCCAGTTCTTGGTGCATTTTTAGGAGGGAATGCAAAGAGATACGACCTATTCCAGCCAAACATTAAACACCCACCTATCACATGGTATATAACTGGGTTTGTATACGAAACCCATTTTAAAAAAGGAGTGGTTATTATGTGGAAGAAGAAAGAGTAGTGCAGTTTGGCATTCCTCTGGCTCTGCTGCTATTCTTCTCAGTCTCCAAGGCTTATGCACCATTGAGAAATCCTTTTGATTTCTCAAAATAGAACTTAGTAATACATAAGCAAAGAATAGATTGTGAATCAGCTGTCTACATCAGCACTAATATACCCCGGGACAGTAAGTAATGAATTGGTAATTACCAGAGAATTAGGCCTGACACATTTCTTTTATGACTCCGTCTAGAGCCTTAGGAATGCTTTATCCCCAGCTCACTAGGATATGTGGATCCTATGCTATGGGTATCTGTTACTCTTATTTTTAGCTGAAGGTTCTCTATTTTCATGAAAGGTGAGAACATAAAAATAAAAAATGATGAGTTTATTTGGGTAGAGCAGTCATTCTCAGGAGACCAATGTTCCGTTCTCATCCTGAAATCCCATACGGATAATCCCTCACAGCCATACCCGTTTACGTCAAGCGTAGTGGGTTCCTGGCTATTCAAGTGTCAGGTGAAAGAGGGGATTTCAGTGATGTTATGTCCTGAAGGAGAGAAATGCAAAGAGGATTTCACTGAGCCTTTAGCATTGAATTTCATGTGAGAGGCTCTTGTGTGGGAAGCCAAGAATCTGTGTGGGCAGTTATTCTTAAGTTTGACTTAATCACTTGCAATGGGTTTTGTTTCTGTTTCTGTCTGTGTGATGATGTGTGTGACTTATTTGATTTATGTGGCAAGCTTTGGTAGCAGGAGAGTTCAGGACTCCTGTGAGAAGAGACCTGGAGCTGTCTCCATGTGAGACAGGGCCAGTTCCAGCTGGCTCCAAGAGGGACACGCTGCTGGCCCAAGCTGAACCTGTGAGTGATGCTGGTATTGCCTCTGTGATAACCTGTGTAACAAAGGGTAAAAAATGTGCAACAGTTGTGAGAGAAAGGAGTGAGAATATGTGAGATGAACAGCCCTGCAGACACCTAGGTCAGTGAAGAAGAGGGGGGAGGAGGTGCTGCAGTGGCCAGAGTACAGGTTCCCCTGCAGCCCTTGGTGAAGGCCATGATGAAGCAGGCTGTCACCCTGCAGCCCATGGTGGTCCATGGTGGAGCAGATGAATGCCTGAGGTAGACTGTGACCCTATGGGAACCCCACACTGGAAGAGGCTCCTGGCAGGACCTGTGGAGAGAGCCACACTGGAGCAGGTTTGGTGGCAGGACTTGTGACCCACAGGGGACTCACACTGGAGCAGCCTGTTCCTGAAGGACTGCATCCTGTGGGAGGCACCCGTGATGGAGCAGGGGAAGAGTCTGAGGAGTCCTCCCCCTGAGAAGGAAGTAGCAGCAGAGACATGGTGTCTAAAAAACCATATGCATAAGAAGGGGCTCCACAGTATCCTTCAGGAGATCAAATACAGGCCCAAATGGAAACATAGGTGCCCTGATTTCCCCCTGTTTCTCACTGTGTTTTATTAAATGCAACTTTACAACATAACTGAGGTTAGACATACACAAAGGCTGCACCGGGGTGGTGGCAATTCCACCTCTGTGCCACCAATAGCAGCTTTCTTGCTGCTTTTCTTCTGCGGGATTAGTGCTCAACTGTTGGTGATCCAGTGATTTAAGAAACGGAAAACTAATCCCTCAAAAAAGTTCTAAAATTACATTCTGCAGGCCTAGTTTTCCCAAGAGGCTCAACATGATGTCAGACAAGCCCAAGGGAGATAATGGAACCTTGTGTTCACAGGAAAGGGAAGAAGCATATTGAGGTTGCCTGTATTTGCAGCACCCTGCAATCAAGTCAGGCTATTTTAATTCTGAAGTGTTATAACCACGCTATTACATGATCTGAAGTGCTGGTATGTATTGCACTTGGTTTATCCAGCACAGTATACTTGGTCAAGAAATATTTCTTTTCCTAGAGGAAGATTTATCTGATCTAAAAGTTAGTCTGAATTTCATTGGAAAACTCAGTGGTTGAATACAAAACACTAAAACAACATAAACGAGAAGACCCTGAATTTACCTAAACAAAACAACTAAATAAAGAAATGGTCTCAGACTACTGAGGTGTGAACATTTTCATCGCAAAGTACTGTGAGAAAAAGAGTGGGGGAATTTTAACCAAACCAAAAACCCTACCAAAATTGAGAAAAATAGATAGTTCCTGAGAAAGTGCTTGTTCTGTTGGGGAAAAAAAAATTGTGCTGAAATGTCGACCAAAAAGGAAGAAACTACCAGATTATTAGGGTCTATTGCATCTCTGCTTTATAAGACAGAAAAAGTCCTATTCTAAAGCCAACCAGGTAACTGTAAAATTGTGCTTGTGAATGGATGTGTGGACACAGTCCTCACACTGGTACAATGCATTTGTGTTCTGTTAGTAGCATTTTGTAAATGAATATGCAAAAAAATGTTGTTTTGCATTTCTCCCTCAATATGAAAAAAACATGTAATTGAGCTTTCTGTTGAAGTGGATCATATGCTGTTTGTGTCCCTGTATGTACCTTGTTTGCCCTTCATTTTAAGAAATCTGTATCATGTGAGCAGAGGGACCTAGATTGTGTTTAGCCTGCAGAGTATCATACAGCTTTCTCTTTGGTTCATGATTTAAGCACAAGTGAAATAACAGTATTATCTTTTAAGTGCTGTTGGCAGAGGAGTCCACTAAAATGAGATTAGTTTATTCTTCAGGGATATAGCTTCAAATTTTCTATATTAGTTATACTCTCTTCTGAAGATTTTCCTGGCCACTGTAATAGATTTGGTCTTTTTTTCAATAAAAGAAGAAAGGGTTATTCCTAAGTGTTTTTAAAGTGGATAAAGGAACTTTGGAGTTCAGAAACTGCTCAGTAGCTGACATTCAAAAGTAGACTTTGAGGGTGTAATGTCTTCATTGAGTAAACAGAGTCTCTGCTGTTAGAGTTCATCAGTACAATTAGAATAAGGAAAAACACAAGTCATAGTTTTTAAATATTCTGCTTAATTTGTGCCTTTTGGAATGGATAAACTGCACGTAGAGCATGCATCTCAACTCCAGAGGTGCACCACCACCACTCACTTAGACTTGGGTAAAGTTAGACATCTACAGGTATAGCTTAGTGGCTATTCCTTTTGGCAGTCTGGTGACTTACATCTTTGCAGGGTTGCCTTTAGATTAGACAGTTCCCAATGCAAGTTCAATGGGACAAAGTAGAAGCAAGACTGGGGACACAGAGTGGAGTGATATAATCTAGTAGAGCACTGAGAAGAAATGCTTGTCAAACTGCAGTATGGACCTGTCATCCTAAACCTTCTTTATAGTCAGAGGACACTGTGGGAGGTGATCCAGCTGGTTTAGGAATAAAGGAGTTGCCTTTTAGAGGTAACTTTGCCTGGAGAGTAAAGGATAATTTTAAAAAAGGGGTAGGGGAAATGTCTGAACTTCAGGTGGAAAGAGGTATTATTTTCCTGGCTGGGTTAAGGAAAAAACCCTTTCTTGTGAGTTATTGACATCTACTCAAATAAAAGTCTAAAGAAGAAACGTAGTCTGGGTTGGAAAGTTTTGTTCTGAAATGTTAGTTAAAACAGATCAGCTACATCTTCTTGCTCTAAAACATTACACTGGAAACAAGATTAGAATCTACTTGTGTCAGCTGCCACTGTTGGGAGGAGCACAGTAGAAGGGAGATCATTGTAATTCTGGTCTGTTAAAAGAAAGATGAGAAGGCAAAGATATTGACAAATACCTCAAACTTTGTTTATGAAATCATGTGTGATATATAATAGATACAAGAGGTAATTTCGGAAATACTCCAAAACTTCCTTTTCAGTATTTATGCTTGTTAGCTTGTCAAACTGAGCCTTAGAAAATTCAGCCTAAAAATTTCCATGGTTCAGCTGCATGAGGTCCAACACAAAAAGTAAAATATTCAGCAAACATTTTTTTCCCTCAAATTGCTGACTGCAGAGTTGATAGCAGGTTTGATTTGGTGTTGTGGATATCTAGAAAGATAGATAACAGCACACGCAGCAAAAAAGTTCACACATCCCTTTCCTCTGCTTATATATATTCTTATCATACCTCACTGATTCTAAAATGTTATCTGACCTACTGTATTGCCTCCAAAATGCTAAAATAGTTTGTGTTTGAGAGACCATATTCTTATTAAATACAAGATTTTTCCATACCTTTATTAAAAAAGGAAAAATAATCCCACTGAAGTTTCCATGACATCTTATGGCTTGGAGATGCTTATGCCTCACCCTCCCCATCCTTTTTTATACTGATCATTTATCTTATTAGGGGAAAACAGCATATGTGATTATTTCTGGTTTTTATGCAGCAGTGGAAATCATCCAGTCTTGTCCCCCTGGACTGTGTTCCCAAGGAGTCACCAATTACTGAGTCTGAGTTTTAGCTGCCCCTCATAAATTAATGCTATTAAAATAATTAAGCAATGATGTAATTTCAATCCAAAGTATAGCTTTATTGCATTTGATTGTTAATAATTGTATCAAAATATTAATTTTCTCTTAAGTATCTTAATGGGTTTTTTTAATATCTGCATCTGCTCAATGTATCTCCTTTGCCTGTCTTCAGCTCACATCTGCTGACTCGATGGACTCTTGCCATGCCAGTGAAGAGCCTTGGGAAGAGTGATGTGACTCTGGGAGTGGGGCTGGATTCTGCCTCACTCAGTGACACACAAATGTCAGCTGAAACCTTTCTCTGCAGAATCTGCCTGACTAATGACAATAGAAGGGCCAGAAAAAAAGCACAGCTGGGGCTGCCATTCCCAGGCTGGGATGGAAGCCCTGAGGGTAGAAAACTCATCTTTTGGCTGAGCATATTTTACATGAAAGATATTAGGAGAAAATCAGCCTGTATTCCCATTATAGCTTTTCAGAGTTAAACTGCACCTTGATCAATTCTGTCTGAATTTTCTTCTCAGGATGTTTTTCTCAAAATTATTCTTCACTTTCTTTGTCAAAGCAGAATCTACTCTTCTCTTGAGTATACTAACCAAAGATGTATCAATTTTTTATGGAAACTGTGTGTCAAGTTTAAGAAATCTCTAATAAGAAAGGAATCTTAAGTGTTTTTTAGCATTAAATCTGCTTTTTAGTCTCAAATGTCAAATGTAATTGTAAAAAGATGCTATAGTACTTGCCAGAGCCTGTGACTGTGTGCATATCTCTGTGTGTACATATATCAATTCATTATTATGAAGGATTTTTTCCAATTTCATACCTTTTTCTGTTTTTGGTTTTGTTTTTTTTTTTTTTTCAATTTACCCTATTTTTATCCGTAGGTTAGTAAAAGAGATTCTAAAGAAATTTAAGGAAAACATTGTCAAGTACAGAAAAAATAATTTCCTTCTAGATGTTAGTAATGGGACATTATAAATGGGGTTTATTTCAATTTCCCAACTAGAATGTTAAAGCTGGTTAGTATGAAAGCCTCTCTTTTCTTCCATCCACATAATTACTATTCTGTAGCTGGCTCTACATAATTTGATTATATTATGTTCTCAGGGCCGTTGCTGGAGTTGACGCAGACCCTGATTTAGTTCATATGGAAATCCAGGACCCCAGTGGAGGTATGCAAATGAAAATGTTATCAATTGATACCCTAGTGTATAGTAATTTCTCTTTGTTTTAGGGGTACTTTTCAGATTGTTTTTAAAACTAGTCAGAAGAGAAATTGTACAAGTCAGATGCTTTCTCTGTTTATATGTAGTCAGCAAAACTGCCCTGTTATATAAAAATATAGTATAATTTAAAATCTACTTGTTTTCCCCTGTAAGATGAGTTGACGTCAAGATGTTATGCTCCGTTTAAAATGTCCATTAATGGTGCAATTTATTCTGGCAGTTAAACATTGAACAGTTTTTCCCAATTTGCAAATAAAACTGGCAATGCAGTGTTAGTGCTGGGTAAGTGTCTGTTTATGTGAATCATTGCATATGTCAGGTCTACTGCACTAACCACCAGCTCCCAGAATTTCCTCATGTTACAGTATCCAGTATACTTTGAGTCTTCAAAAGGAAAATAAATGAAAAAGCAGACTGGTAGTCAGGATGTGCTGTATTGAAGAGTCACCATGATTCCAAAAATCTGGTGTAGTTTCTTGTTACCAATCGTACTCTTTAAAGGTAATGTAATTTCTGGACTCTGATTATCTAAGTTCCTGTGCAATCTTAAAAATGAGTTGTAAAGAATGTGCAGTTTAATTTTATCCCTATCCTGTAACTTTTCTTCGTTTCAGCCCTATCAAAAAAATCAAAGTTGCCATGTTAAAAGCTGGATGAGAGTTTCTAAATCTTTTAGAAGCGAGATTTCTGAGACATAGTGGCAGCTCCCTCAGCTACTTTCTTTAGAGACTGTGTAAAAAGATTTTTTAGGACCTGAATGGAAAGGTTTGTTTGGGTTTTTTATTTAACAGAAGCAGCAGAAAAAGAATAATGACATATTTCTTGGCTGGGTTCTCAACAAACTGATTGTGCACTTATGGTCAGTACAAGCATTGCCATTGATTTTAATGGAAACAACATCTTTGCACTGCCTATCTGATGAAGAGCTATAACTCTTGTGATGTGAATTATGAATATCTGCAAGACTTTTAGATGGTCATTGCTGCACTTGGTCAAATGTCCTGGTAGTGATGATTTGGATATAATCAGGAGAACCTGAATTGACTCTAACTGCCTCTTAAATACATTCAGATTTAAAAAAAAATAATTGTATCCAGTATACTGGTTTGACCTTGTCTAATTAAAAGTCATAAAGTGTGGAATGCATTTCCTATCGCACTGCAAAAGTAGTGAAGGACATGGGGGTGCATTGTTTGCTCTCCCTCATGCTGTACATGGAGCATGGGTAGAATTAGTGATCTGGACACAAGACTGTGTATATAACATTTTCCTCACTGTGCTTGGAAAAGTCACTCAAGTACTTTGTGCTCAGAAGCTTGTGATGAAAGGTGAGCTGTACAAGAGCTTGAATCTAGGAGAAGGTCTTTAAGGCACAGCTGGTGTAAGATACAATTGTTGGCTCTGCTCTCTCTGATAAGAGCAGATTGTATCAAAGATGCAGTGGTGCTCTTCTAAGAACCGAGGTAGAGAGGATAGTCCTTGCTAACTGGAGAGGAAGAGAAAGGCTGCAGCCTCCACTGATTATAAATCAGTCCAGGCTTTTTCAGCAAAGTATTAATTATGAATGTAGAAATCCTGCCCCAACAGAGCAGTTCCAATAGCATGTTAATAGTGTCTCTGCACATTCGTACAGAGCTTTGAAAATAGCCTTTAAAATTCTGCACACTGTCTATTAAACGAAGTCTGATTCTTTTCTCATTCATCACAATTTTATACTGGGGTTGATCTATTGATTTCAGTTATGTTGTGTCAGGCTGCCATTTCTCCAAGTGAATAATTTGGCTCTGTGCATAGGTTAAGTGAGAAAAGAGGTTCCTTCTATTATCCCCACCCATGAATGGCTCATTCATCTAACCCTTAATCTCTCTGGACCAGCAACATTTGGATAATAACAGGCTGCCTCCAGGGAATGATCTGAACTGTAAGCAGTTAATATATTCTCAGTACATTGGAGATTGAAAAACTGTTGTATGAGGGTTTAATATAATAATTCTACAACTAACTCACCTGGCAAAGGCAGCATTTTTTCTACACGAATAACATTTAATACTGCTTGCTTCTTTTTCCCTTGATAGCCCTGTCATATGTTTCTGTCTGTCTTCCCTCAGGTTATCGCTACATCACTTGCCAGATTCAAAATTGTTCTGATAAGACAATGACAGTCCCATTTGCTGGTAGTACTGATCGGGATTCCCTGACTGTGCAGGATGACTACATATTTCTGCAGGTACTTTCATTTTCGGGAGACATAGCTTATTCTTGAATCAAAATAATTTTAAATAGTGCAGCAACACTGTAAGGAACAGGGAGAAACCTGTTCCAGAGCATGAATGATGATTTATGAATTTTTATGGGGAACAAAACATTCTTTTATCATTAAAAAAAAAAAAAAAAAGGCATCTTTAATTTGTGCAACCAGTTGCCCTTTAACTATATGAAAATTTCCAAGCAGATTGTATGGTTCAAAGTTACTTTCTATAAATACACTTGTGTATTAAGCAAAATGCAACCCTTTTGTTCTTATGCTTACAATATCTTCTGGTTCCTGATAAAAGCATCTGAGGACAACCACTGACAGACTGATTGCACAGCTTCTTCATAAGGATTCTCCTCTGAAGAGGTTTTGCCAGGAAAGAACTTACATGGCTGTGCTTAGGAAGCAAAAGAGTGGAATAGTCATAGCTGGGATCTTGGAGCAAACTAGTATAGAATCGTAGAATGATTTAGGTTGGAAAAGACCCTTAAGAATGAGTCCAACCATAAACCTAACACTGCCAAGTCCACCACTAAACCATGGCCCTAAATGCCACGTCTACAACTCATGGTGGTCCAAATTACATTGGGGTTATTTCATTCCCAAACTACAGGGCCTGTGTGCAGAAATATGGGCTGAAACTTTGTCAGGCTTATGGCACCAGTACAGCTCAGGCACACTTGAAAACTTTGTTTTATGTGCTTGGCACGGGTTGTGATTTGAATCTATCAAAGCTGCAAACTTCTCAAAAAAATGTTATGTCCTCCTTGTTTTGTTAGATTTTACTGGGGAAGTTGCTTGTGCTTTCCTCAGTGGTTGGCTATCATTTTTCCCTTGGTTTGATATGATTTGTTTGCTGCAAGACTTGTCTATTCATTGACTTTTGCAGGAAAGCAGTATTGTGACAATGGATAGGTCTCCCCACCACTGCCTCAGTGTGTGTCGGAATGGCTTCCTTGCAGCTTTCTCTTCTTGGGGCTCTTCCACAAAGACCTGTAAATTAGTAGGGACACAAAGGATCTGTCCTCCTCTTGTTTGGTGCAGTGGTTTCAAAAGCCTGCATGGCTTAGAACAATTAGCACTATAAGGAAATGGAAAAAATGGCTTTGGGAAAGAATTTTTGGATTAAAGTAGGCATTTTTCATATCAGATCTAGCACTCCTAGCACTCATTTTGCTCAAAGGTATTATTATCTGTGCCCCCCAGGCACACTCTAAAATCCATTCCATGGTGTGTAGACAGAGAGAACTGTTTCTCACCATGTGAACTGCTGGGCTCAGCAAAACACTGGCTTCTTCCTCATCAAGCATTTTGTTTTGCTGAATGCCTTGTACAACTGCATCTTTAGCTGTTATTCCACCTCATGCCAGGCATAAGCAGACACAAAATGGAAGTGCAATGTGGAAATGTACATGTAAGTAACAGACAGTTGCTACAATCAAAAGGATGCCATTGGTAATGTGATCTCTGTAGATTTGACACATACCAGTGCCAGTAGATGAGATGTTCATGTGTTCTACATAAAGGAGAAACATCTCCAGTCTTTTCCTTTCACATTTAATTGTACTAAACTACAGTATGTAATGTAAATTTTATTGCTAAATTGGTTTGCAGTTAACCAATTACTGTAAACCCAGTTACGGGACGTTAGAAGATAACTGGGATCCTGCAGTCACATCTGAAGTGCAGCCACCCCAGAGTTGTGATGCAGTATTTACCTGTTCCAGTGAAACCTCACAGCAGCTGTACATGTGAGAAACAGCATGCTTTTGAAACCATGTGGAAATTCTTTTATCATGACGCTAAAATATTGCTGTATAAGTTACACTTAGACAGGGACTCCTCGTGATATCCCCAGCATTGCGTGCCAGAGAGAGGATGGGACAGAATCATCTGTGCAAAAGAAGAGGAGGGTTTGAGGCTGTCTTCCTGCCTCTGGCATTGCTCACATGCCCTGAGCTGTGCAAATGTAAATCGGAGCATTACAGGTCTGCACTGCTAAACCTGCCCCAAATCTGAGATTTTTTACCATCTTCGCGGATGATCTCAACCCCATTTCTTTAGTATGTCCACAAAGATCAGAAACTGTATTCGCAAAGATCAGAAACTTTCTAGTGTTCCTTTTTTTTCCAGTTTGCAATGACAGTCAGAGAGTTTCAGAGTGATTTTAGTAGGAGATTAAAGTTTCAACACTGTTTTTAAGCATAGACTAGCCTTTAATCTCAGTGAGGCTTGATATCACTGGGTGCTTCCACTCCAGTTCTCCTCTGCCCTGCATCATCTCCAGTCATTTAAAATGAGTGACATTAAAAAAAATGCATTTAAAAGAAGACTATGAAAAGATAGGTAAGACTGCCACTTAACACTAGTTAAACAAATGGTGAGGCTTTTGGTTTGATCCATCATCATTTAACAAATGACATTCCTAAAGGGCATCACATTTGAAATGGGTTTAAAGAAAGAGTCAAAATGCTTACAGTATTAAATGCTTTGGAATACTTTGTTATCTTTAAAATATCCAGGCAGGTGGACCTGCTGTCATACATCAATTCTGTTTTTACCAAGCCACATCAAGTTTGTATGCTTCAGGATAGGCTGTCTTGCAAATCAGGTTCCCTTTTTAAAAATAAAAGTTGAGGAGAAAAAGAGTCGAATTGGGGTAGGATTTTAAATGGATTTCCTAAGTTAAAGAAAGAAGATGAGTCTTTTTGTGCTTCTGTTTCACAATCTGATTTGTCATGGGCAACCAGAGAAAAATTTTTGACATTTCATTTAATTTCTTCCTTTTTTTTTTTGACCAATGCGTTTCTTCAAAGCAGCCAACCTTTATAAGCTTAGTGAAAATTACTAAGTAGCCATTACATAGCTGATCCTCTGGGCAGGGAAAATGTGAAATATTGTTTACCAAATGCTAAAATCTTCACTAATATCATCTGATGGTGCTCAAGTGGCTAAGTTGGAAATATGCTGATTTATATACCAGCACAGATTCTGATGTTATATTTCTGATTAGAAAAACCATGGAAGGTTGTTAATTGAGAATTTTCAGCTACGTTTTTTTAGAATATTCTTTTTGGTGCTTTGGAAAAATATTTGCCTTGTGGGGGCTTTTTTGTGGGCGTTGTGGGGTTTCTTTGTGAGTGATAGTCATACAGCAGTGTTCCTTTCAATAACTGTTTCTCTTGGCTTTCTTTAGTGAAAATCTTCAAAAGCACCAAGTATTTTATGTAAAACCTAATCTGTCTTCAGTTTCATACATGCAAGTCATTTAAATGCGTGTTTTACTTCTCTATTTAAGCATATAATTGTGTCTTCAGAACATATCACTGAGTTTAAAACTGACCAACCAATGGATTTAAAATTGCATCCTTATCTTCCACATGGCATGGTAGCATCTTCACTGGGAAATGTTTTATCCTGTATAGAAAATATTAGTCAGATATAGTAAATGTTTTACATAATGTTAACATGATTTATTCAATGTTTTGTGCTCTGCTTTGAAGTGTGCTGTGGAGTACTTCTTGCCCTTGAGGTACCTGGTGTTCATGGCCAGTGTACCTCCTCCCTACCTCTCACCTAAAGGCTGCTGCTGCCCCAACTTCTACAACAGGGCAAAGATGTGGGAGGCCACTGGGTACAAAGATATTAGTAAGGACTGAGGACAGTGGATGCTGAAGTCTCAGGTATCACCCAAAACTGCTGAAATGGCAAAAGAAAGAAGTAAATCATTTTTGTCTTCCTAAAGAGAAGAACAGATTACTGTGCAGATTATTTGCGTGCAATAAAAGTAATAGCTATGTATTTCAGTTGCAGGTTAAAAGAAAAACTTCCATCTCAGGTTCTTTAGGTTTAGCATAAACCATCACAGGGTTCTGTTTTTCCTTTGTACAGACAACATCAGCAAATCGGACCAAGTATTACGTGTCTTACCGTCGAAATGGCTTTGTACAAATGAAGTTGCCAAAATATGCGTTGCCAAAAGTAAGTATAAATGTTTTTCTTTCTCTTTTTGCATTTGTCATCTTCTCTTTCTACCTAAATTGGTTTTAGTGTTCTCTTTTTTTGAACCTCATTTATCTGGGACCACAATTTCTGCTTGTAAGGATTTCTGAATCCCATTTGTGGTATATTCATACCCTGCTATTTTTATTTTAATTCTAATAATGTAGTATTTGTAAACCGTAGAGGACAAGAACATACAGTAGCTTGTTTGTCATCAATTACTGCAATAGTTTTTGAGCTTTGCTTCCATGATGCAGTGTTACACACACAATGACAATGTAATGGTGTAGAGCAAGGGTTCTTTCAAGAACCAATTACAGTTTAATTCCACATGGTGTTTTCTGGTATAAGCATGAATAGTAATATAAGAGAATTTTGCCACTTGATGGTGCTCTATTTCACTAAAGAATCCCCATATGGACTTAAATTGCTTAATGAAATTGCAAGACTTGTTGAGAGGTTCTTTCAGTCTAGTATAACTTCCTAGTGACAGGGTTTCTGTATTTGCATAGTAAATCAACACTTAAGCACAGACAGATATTTAAATATGGTCTAACTGATGCAGTTGAATTTTTTGTGCTGCATACACTGTATTTCCTAACTTTACACTTAGAAGGTAGAAGCCTTCTGCAGTCCTGAAGAAAAATTACTTGGAATTTTTAAAGACCCAGCTGGATAAAACCCTCAGTAACCTGCTCTGGCCTCACAGCTCACCCTGCTACCAGCAGGAGGCTGATCTGGAGGTCTTGCTTTTTCATGTGATTCTGTGTGATTCTGTCACTAACTCAGAAGAGAACTAAGAAATGTTTTCTTTGCATGCTTTGAATTGCACAGGTTTAATTCATTGCTCATCTAGTGAAGGACAGTAGAGTACAATGTATTTCCTTCTGCTGCTATTGTTTTAAACAAAAGAATGTGCTTAATATCAGTTTTTCATCTTGGATTTTATTTCTGTGTCATTCTATATGGTGGGTTGAAGACTTCTGGTTTTAAATGTACAACATATTAACAGAATCTCAAATCAAATCCCCAGATACTAGTTGAACAAGAATCTGAAACCTGGATATGCTTCTAGTAGCACTATAGAAATGGCTATCATCTATTTATCTCTCTATCTGTGCTGTCAAGAAATATATACCCAAGGACTGATATACAGATCAATCCTTCCAGAAAATTATTTCAGTGTTTTTAAGGCCTTCAAAGTAGCCTTTATGGTTTCTTGGGGGAAATTATAATTAGCAAAACAACAGGAGAATACCCAGTTTTAAATATTAAAGAATAAAAAATGAGGACACCCCAAGGGACTACAGCCCATGAATCCCCATGCTGGGGCCAAAGAAAACAAGTAAGGAGCAAAGCAGGAAAGCAAAGAGTAAACAAGGAGCTTCAGACATACTCAAAAGTGTCAGTCAAAGCTCCCTGGTATTTCTGTCAGATGTAGTCTGGATTATTTGAAATAGTGCAGCATGCTGGATTCTTTGTCTTGGAAAATATGTTTCTTGTTTATTTGGGGGTTTTTTGTGTTTTTGTTTTTTTGTTTTTTTTTTTTTTTTACTTGATAGGCAGATTACTCCAGGCTTGATGGAATAGATAAATTAGAAGTTAATGGTTTCATTTTGCATAGAATCAGTAGCTACCTAGGAACAGGGTGACTATGTCATTTGGAAAGGGAGGTTTTTGTGCTCCTCCTAGTTCAGGCAATACCCGATGAGTGGAACAAAGTAAATGTTATCTCTTCAGCATTTTGACAGTGACTCCAGGAGAAGTTTCTTTGCTATCTGAGCACAACGAAGTTGAAAATTTCACCAAGAGGGCCACGAAGCCAGACATCCATTAGAACAGTGGTGGATGTGAAAAGTATTGACCTTTTCTGAAAAAGATATGTTTTTTTAAAGTGATTTGGTGCCTTCACATTGCAACAGAAATGTTAGATACTGAAGTAAATAAGAACACAGTTCTAAAATGTTTTATCATGCAGTGTTCCAGTGAGAGTTGTTCAAATACAGTAGAAATGGATCTTCCAGTCCTATTTTAAAAGAGTGGAAAAGACTCATATGAAGCAAATTACTGATGAAATTTTGTAAAGAAGCAGGATATCAGCAAAGACGCTGGCACATTAGAAGTACATCCAGATTATGTGACTGTGGAGTTGCTTCTTTTATGGTGGTAGGAGATAAACAGAATGGATGAATTTACAAAGGACCTTTTTTTTAAGATTGATTAAAAACAGTAGCTTTTGAAAGATCTGAGTTTCAGAGGGTTTTAAGTATTAGATTCTGCCTAACCAGGAGATGATGCATGACTGTAATAGGCTATATTTCATTTTTGTCAAAAGAATGGAATTAGATGTCAAAAAAATCTCTTTCCAAGTGGTCTCTGTAAAGTGCTTCACGGCAAGGGACAGAATCTTTGGGCAGTGATTGCATACAGGGAAGGAAAACTGTAGCCAAGCCAGAAGATATTACAGACTGATCAAGGATGTGTGTAACAACATTAAGAGAGCTGTGCTGGAATACCAACCTCCAGCCTGAGGGAGCAGGGCTGGATACTTCTGATATTATTCTTTCACTGCACAGATGTGTTTCACAGTGATTTTACATATGGAGATAGAATGAGCATTTTCAGACTGAGTAGTTAGAAAATGTTATTGATGTCTCATTTTCCTTTCAATATGAAGAGGTTGAAAATCTGCAAAAAAAAATTATTCAGTTGCTTTATATAGTTTTAATTTGCGTTTGTGTTTGTATTTGACCAGATGTACCCCCAAAGAAAAACCTAGAAAAGGATAGTTTGTCTTTGGACACATCTACAGTGCTTCGTACTTGTGAATGAAAGGCTGCTAAAAGCAGCTTCCATCCAAGCTTTACCTCTGCTAAGTTTCTAGGCTCCAACTCCACAGTGCCACTGAGCTCACCTTTTTGTAACACATCATAGCTCTGTACATGTACACAGAGAGCAGAGCCATTGGGGGATATCTAAGGAGCAGGATTCGGATAATTTTTTTAAGCTTTTTTCTGTGCCATTGATAGATTCATGTATTTTTTTTAATAGCATATTACTGACATTGCATGGAATCACACAGCTGTCTCCTGCATTTGACAGGAGTCAAGTGCTGGCTGCTCTCAGGTAGGGTGGTGGCAAAGGCTGGTAAGACCAAATTAAAGGTTGCTTCTATGCTCCCCAAAACAGAAGAGGAATTTTCACTCTGTTCTTTGAAAAATGAATTGGTTTTTACTTTTTTACTATATTCCATTTTACCAAGATTGCTTGTTCTGTGCTGCTAAAACTAGTTCAGAAGTTAGTAACTTGTAGGAAGGCAATACCAAAATCAAGCCAAGAGCAACAGGATTGCATCTGTGTGTCAAGTTGGCTGGTTAGGCATGCAGGAGTGTTCCAGTGGGACCCAGGAATCCTCTTTGGGCTATTTTGATCCTGGAGCAGTGGTTTAGCTGCCACTGCAGGAAGAGTAAGTGTGCCCAGGGGCACAAACTGAAGCCCCATCCAGTGTCAGCACACTTGCATTGTATAAACATTCCTGCAGCTGTCACTGCCCTTGCCTTGAGAAGTGCAGGGTGGAGAGAGTGGAGTACATTGGGTCTGGTCCTTATTCACGATTTTGAGTCATATGCCAATGTGTGTAACAAGAAAACTGGGAACTAGTTCATATCGGGAGTTTAAGCAAAAAAAAAAATTGTTAACAAAATTCCTGACCAAACCAAGGAATCTGCTACAAATTATGACAGTTTTGCTATTACAGTTTGGGAGAACTGAATTATTCTGAGTTCCCCTCCCACGCCTGTTAAATAAACTCCAATGATAGTGATCTCCTTTCATGATAGAAGGCACTGATTGATTCTGCATTTGTTCATGCCAGCTACAAAATCTTAATGATGCGAGAGCTCTATTGTCTGTTGTATCCTAATGCAATTCAGAAAGTTTAGTTTTGAAAAGATATGGTGTGGAAAAAACTTCTTTCATCTATTTAATCTCAGTATGTATTTTCAATCTTGGGAAATAGGCGATAATGTAAAATTTTTCAGGTAACCAAGATAAAAGGAATTATAGGTGGGTAACAAAAATAAAAGCAGAAAAAAATCCTATTGCCTTAGAAACAGGTTAAAGTCTGTAATTTATTCATGGTAATATGAATCTCCCATACATGCCTTTTATCAGATCCATCTATTCTTTTTGATTATCACCTGGTCACCTCTTCCTTGCCTCAGTCTGAGATATACATCACTGCTTTAACCATAGGCTTACTTCCATTTTTCTGTATCATTCAACAAGATGTAAGACTATCCTTAAATGGGTCCATTCCCTAACGGCAGAAATGGTAGAAGAAGATTCCTGCAATCCTTTTGCCAGCGAAGTTCCCTTGAGCATTTGGCTGCATGATGGCTGGATGGCAAACTATTGAGTCTATGACAGTGCATTTAGCAAAGCTTTTAGTCTCTCAATAGTTGTTTTTCCACATGGGAAGCTCCTTCACTACCTCTGCCACTTACCACCCTGGGAGGCTTTGGCTGAGGTTGTTCCCGTGTGCCAGGCAGAAGAGCAGTTTGCAGCTGCAGCAGGACTACTTTTCCATTCTTGTTCCATTCCATTGGAATGGCTGTTGAACAAAGAATGAAGGATAACAAAGTAGAAATGCAGGTGGCAGTGGCATTTGATGCAGAAGTATTCCTTCCCCAGGCGGTGTCATGGCAGTAGCCAGTGAACCTGAGCTGTAGCAGCTGTCTAGCTTCCTGGTTTTACAAATCCATCCAAAGTGGATTCAAGGAACTGTTATTTTTTTCACAGTGTAACTTTATATTGATTTCTCTCCTTTTCCTGTTTTACTCAGCCAGGCAAGGAAGATTAGGAGGATTATCTTTGCGATATGTGCCATCCGGTTACCTTGATTGTGCTTGAGAGATTATAGGGGCATAAATGTGGTACATCTGGAGGTCAAGGCTGAAACTACACATCCTTGAGTGCTT